GCGTCGCTGCCGCGTGCGTTGTGGGCGCTCGGTGTGTGTGGCGCCTGTGTGTGGTGTCGTGTGATTGGTGTGTGTCTGTTGTGCTGGTCCGCTGTGGTGTGTGTTGTGGTGTGTGTTGTGTGTGTCGTGTGTGTTCTGTTCGTGGTGTGATGTGTGTCTTGTGTCCCTGTGTGTGCGTTCGGGGTGTGCCTGCGTGTTTTGTGGGTGTGTGTGTGCTGTGTGTCCCTGGTGGTGTGTGGGTTGCGTCGTGTTGTGTGTGTGCCTCCATCGTGTGTGTGTGTGTGTGTGTGTGGCTGTTGTGTGTGTGTGTGCTGCGGAACCGTGTGAGCGTTATCAGTACCTTTGCCGTATTGAACACGACGAAAAGGAATTCCGAGAAGCGTAAAGAAGTCAAGAATGAAGGCGCGTCAAGATTGCGTTGCGGAAAACCACATCCGCAAGTGCCCCTTTATAACCAGGTATGTCGTTTATTTTTACTCGCAGCGGTCAAAGCGATACGATTTAAGTCTTGTTGGAAATAAATCTGCATGCAAGAACAGTGAAGTAGTACGATTGCGGGTAATATTATATCTTGCCCATACATGTGGCTCACTCCCCACCACATACACCTAACATTATACCACCTTTTCTACACTACCACTTACCAACTACCACTAACCACCATACCACCTACCACTACCACTACCACTACCACTACCATCTACCACTCTACCACTACCACACTACCACCACTACCACCACTACCACCACACTACTACTACCACTACCACTACCACCACAACCATTACCACCTACCACTACACTGATCACCGACCATTACCTCAATATTCCAGCTTTCGTTCACAACATTCACACCACACGAGCGCAGTGGCTCACTCAGTGATCTGCCCTCACACGCCCACGACAATCGCCTTCATACCGACACTGCACCTGCGGTGCCTGTATTTCGTATCTAAGCGCTCGACGGGGCAGTCGTTAGGCGCTGAGCCGCCGACCAGCAGCGACAGGTAGACAGTCTGCCATCAGGTCCTGCGCGTGCCTTCGTGATCGGCGTTGTCAATGCTTAGCAACGAGTCATCGCAGCTACCTCATCCGACTCCACTGTGCGCTTCCCCCAAGCACCGTTATCGTGGCGGAGATGATGTACGAGAGCGCCGCGCGCGCGGTGCATCGCTTCATAGCTGTCGGGCTTATGAGCAGTTCGCCCGTAATTAAGACATTCTTGGAGATTACGACGCATAAAAGGTATACATGTAACTATAATACGCAAAAGATTATTTCAATTATGCTACCACGGACGCCTGCGAATAGCGCAAATTACACCAATTTGGTTTACGTGGTGTCGGTGGATCTGAATGATCGCATGATAGACGGACGGCTACTGATGGATGTGCATGCGATGGACGGGCGATTTATGGACGGGACAGATGCGATGACGGACGACAGGCGCGACGAACGCGACGAACGGAGTAGTTGATATGCATGATATGGATGCTATTATATGTATTGTAATCGATTGCCGCGCGGTGTGTCGTGCGTGCTGTGTGCGCGCATGTTGTGTGTTGTGGAGTGTGCTGTGTTTGTTGTGCGTGCGTGCGTGCCGTACGTGGTGATGGAATGCAGGGTTGGCATGATGCGCATGCGCATGGAATGGATCGGCCATGATGGATGATCGGATGGATGGTATGAGCGATGGATTGGCATGGGATCGATGGATGGATCGACTGTATCGATGGGATGGAATGACTGGATCCGATGGAGCGATCGATGATGATGGATGGCATGATAATGGATGTCGATGATGTGTGCATGGATAGGATGCACGATGAATGGTATGATGATGGATGGATGGATGGATGGATGGATGGATGGATGGATGGATGGATGGACGGATGTATGTATGTATGGATACACAAGGACATAGAAATCAATCAGAACATATACATGTGTTCTGGCTTTAGCTGCTTAACATGAACGTGCAGCGCCATCTGCTGATAGAAAACGTTCATTGTGTGAATATTGGAACCAATTCTTTTTTTGTGAAACCAGGGCTTAATTGGTATTGCAGAAGAATATGGTTTCATATTCCCGTTCCCACACACACACAAATACTAAATTACTTACATGTTATTCGACCATAGCACTAGCAGTAATATGTAATTTGTAATGTTTAGAGTATTAATTGTGTCACAGACTTATTTACTCTACTCTTAAACTTAATTTTAACGTTTTAGCAATTGAATGCTACTCATTTTGATCGATGTGTCCCCGATTTTGTCTCATTCTATTGTATTTTTAATTATATTTCTATTAATTTATAGTTTATATAATTTATAATTATATATCTATAATAAGTTATAGCCTTTTGGTATAATTATATGATACCTGATTACTGTGCAGGTCCAGCTTAATGAGGTTTGGACATTGCAGTAGACCATCACAATGGGTCAAGTAATTGCAGCTCAGGACACATATTGTAAGATTACAACACATATTTATTTCTGCTATGTGTTGCAAATTTGCTCCTGATAGCCAAAGGTATTTAACGTCACTCAGAAACCTCTGAAATCATCACAGCAAGATTAAAACAGTTAAATTATCATTTCAATAGCTATACTTATACTTATATAATTATGTAAAGAATTATAAGATATATGTAGCCTAAATTGTTAATCATCGGATGTTATTCGAAGCTGTGCAGTGTACGTAGCCTACGTGAATGTAAACGAATTAGTATAAACACCTGTTCTGTCTTTCGAAGTATAAAATTTTTTTCAGCAGATAGTAAACATCCATTCTGCTGTGCTTGCTCAGTTAATTTTTTCTCTCTCCATTTATCGTTGCTGTGTTTTATTTTTATTTTGCCACAGTGTTCGGCAATGGCATTATTAACGTTAATAGCATTTTGTCGATTCGCCGACGAAAAAGTCACGACCAATGGAGAAGGATTCATTATTTATTAGGCCTACGCTAGTACTAGTAGTACTAGTAGTAGTACTTTACAATGCGAAATTTCTTTATGGAAAAAATTGATAAAAGAAAGACATATTATGATTCTCTATATACAAAATAAATTTTATATGCCGATGGCTGAAAACGTCGCATTTGCCATGTCTGTTACCATCACTGTTGTTACAACAACAACGAACGTATCCAACGCATAAATTATGTTAATGCATAAATTATATTTTGTAGTTATGAAATTGTGAATAAATTATTGAGTTACTACCTGATCTAAGAGATTATTAATAATGTATTAGAATTCTGAAAAAACTGGTATTTCTTTGAGTAGTTCTAGCCGTGATGCCGTTTTCTTTTTCAGCAAGTATAATGTCTTTCGATTAGTTTATCTGGTACACAACATGGCAGCGCCCATGCGAATATGCAATCCTATCCTATTTTTCCTGTGTGTTATGTTTATTACTATTAGTATTATAACGCTCTTGGATTGTGCATATGTTAATAATTACATCAATTAACTATACTTTTTTTGTCAATACTTATACTATTGTATTAATAGTAATATGAGCTTGAGTGGGTGGAAACGTATTCTCTGTTCACGTAAACAACTGCGGATTGAGATAACATTAGCATGTGGACAATCATTCAGGTAATGGTGAGAAATAAGTTGGGTACGACTTTATTAGTGTATATTATTACTCAGTGTTGTAGTCGACTCCGCACCCCCCGAGTCCGAGTCTGAGTCTGAGTCCGCACCCACCAGAGTCCGAGTCCGCGCCACCCGAGTCCGAGTCCACACCACCCGAGTCCGAGTCTATTTTTCATTAAAAAAAGGAAAAAATGGGCATAATCGGAGAAAAAATCAGAAAAAAGGGTAAAAATTCAAACTGTATGTAATCAAGCTCATAGGGTCTATGTCCCCCAGGGTACTGCCAGAACGTACCTTGGGTACGGTCCGGTATACCGGAACGTACCCTGGTACTATCTAATATGCCGGACCGTACCTCGCCTACTCCACTAACGAGTCTAGGGAGTCGCCTACGCCTACTCCCTAACCCTAACTCTAACCCTAACCATATCAAATAGTTACCAGGGTACGTTCTGGCAGTACCCTGGGGCACATAGACCCTATGAGCTTGATTACATACAGTTTGAATTTTGGAATGTGCATTCACATGACATTGCATAATTTGCACTGAACAACAGAGTATGCTAAAGAAATGAATGTTCAGCGTTCTTACACATAGATATAAAAACTACAAAAGAAAACCCTAACATTTTTAAACCAAGGGTTTTTATTGCCATAATTATATTAAAAGTTAACAGTTTGAGTATGTTGAAAAAACACACCTAAATTAAATAGTGAATGCAATTTAAATACTAGCATATGGTTTTTTTGCCAAATTAGCCAGCTTTAATAAAGATCGCAGGTGTGAAATAATATACCATCAATGGAATAAAATTGATGCATGATTATTTTTGGACATTTATTATTGAGTTGAGTCATGCACATGCTATTTTATTTGTGCATGGATAGCGACATCTCTGAAGTTAAGATCTATAGTTTAAATCCCCGCTATATCCGCATGTAAAAATAAATACCGATATAAACTGTTGTGTAAATTCGAGTGGCTTGCTTGCAGATGGCATGAGACAAGACCCAATGAATGGACCAGCGTGCTTGCAGACAGGGTCTTTACACTAAGCCAGACGGACTCCCACCTTCTCTACAAGGTCCACGGCACCGACTGCGGAGACTGGGAAGAAATTCCGCTTTTACACGCCGACAATGCAGACTTGGCAGGGGTTCCACATTTGCAAACCGAAAACAGACGCTTGGCGGGGGTTCCGCGTTCCACCAAGCGGAAGAACGCGTCTTTTGCCGCCAAGAATCCGCAGAAGAAACCTCGAGGCGGCGCCACATCCGGACGCGGCGGCGGCGACCAAAAGGACGGCGTTGGCGCAGCACGACGAGGCGATGACGATGGCAGTGAGAACATACTGCGCGACTACTTCCAGCTGGACATCGACGTCGAGCGGTTGTACGAGCGCTGGAGCGACGCCGACGAAAACTTCGCTCGGGTGGCGCCGCGCTTCATCGGCGTGCGCATGCTGCGGCAGGACCCCGTCGAGAACCTGTTCTCGTTCATCTGCTCGTCGAACAACAACATCGCGCGCATCGCCGGCATGGTCGAGCGCATGTGCACGCGCTACGGCGAGCCGCTGCCTGTGGTAGGTGGCGCCACCTATCACGCTTTCCCCGGCGTCGCCGCCCTGGCGGCGGACGGCGTCGAGGGCGAGCTGCGCGCGCTCGGGTTCGGGTATCGCGCGAAGTACGTCGCGGCGAGCGCACGTTGGATCGCGGCGAACGGTGGCGAGGCGTGGCTGCGGGGCCTCCGGGGCGTGCCGTATGCGAGGGCACATGCAGAGCTCACAAAGCTGACGGGCGTCGGAGCCAAGGTGAGAACGAGCGCGCGCTCGATCGCCGAAGTTCCGAGAAAACGCTTGATTTAGGTTGAGATGAGAAATCGAATCGTGTCGTGATGATTCGTTTACATTTTAGGTTATCTCTGTGGTATCCGTAGTTAGCCTTTTATTATCCACATGGTTATCATTGCTGTTGATTCATCCGTTATATATGAGCCATCATTATTTTGTAGTGAAGCATATATCTTCTACAGATTTTTACTTAATTTGTTTCTTTTTTATCTTTATACGGACCAACTCCAGAACATGTAACCTCTGTAGAGGAATACATGTATGCCATAGATATAAGAGTAGAACTTGTGCAAGTTGGAAACCCCTCTCTGCTACATGTAGAGCAAACACACTTGTTTGGGAATTTTCAGGAAAACGATTTGATTTTAAGGTTGTGATATGATTCCAGGTGGCAGATTGTGTGTGCCTCATGTCACTAGATAAGACTGGTGCCATTCCAGTAGACACGCATGTCTGGCAGATTGCTTCACGTGACTACATGCCCCATCTAAAGAAGGTGAAGTCGGTGAATGACAAGGTTTACAAAGAAATTGGTAAGAATCTCAAAGACGCCATTTGTGTAATGCAAGAAGATACTACTGCAGTTATTGCTTATCATATCAACATAGTGCTGCCCTCTATTGTGATTTTATTTAGCAATCTGAATAAAACCATGAACGTTTGTCTAGCACCACCAGAATTAACATAACACATTGCTAGTCAGTGTATTTGATAATAATTATTGTACATATATCATATGTAATTAAATTGTAGTAATGTAATGAAACACTAGTAATTTTGTCTTGTAGGAGAATTTTTCAGAGATCTGTTTGGCCCATATGCTGGATGGGCACATTCCGTGAGTATCTTTTGTGTCTCTACATACCTCACCTATGCAGCAAATTCTAACATTACATTTTAGACACTCCCATGTTTTAACGTGAACCTAAACTAACTCTTTAAGTCATTGGTGGCATTAACAACTACCCTCGTGAGTGCAGTCACGAGGAGGTTTGGAAGCTAACATGGATATATGATTTTTGCATAGGATATGTTGATGTATGTATTATGAACGAATAACGCGACTCCAGCTTTTAGCTATATTTGATAGCAATCATCACTTATTCACAAACTTTCGTGAATAACCCTGAGAGAGTAATCTTTGTCTTTTCTGCATTAAAATCACAATTAGGCGTTTAATCCTGTTTGTATTGGTCTTCTGGGGATAGATGTTGGGCTGATGAAATTTCACCTTCCCCTGCAGTGCATGCTCATGCGTATGTAAACACGTGCACACACACCTGCTTCTTTTTCTAGTCTCACTGAAGCTTGTTTTTTTTCAGGTCTTGTTCAGTGCTGATCTAAAGAAATTTGAAGATGCTAGTAAGCCAAAGCAGCAGCCTAGCGGCCGGCCTCCGATAACAGAGGCCAACTGATGCAGACAGCCACAGAACAAGTTGCTACTGGGTCGAACACCCCATCCGGTGGGTGGGTGGGTGGTTGCTAGTAGAATCCAAGGTCATTCATACCACGGCGATGCAGCCGCGTGTGTGTGTGCGACCCTTGTCTAATCGGTGCCTACTTTTAACTGTACAGCCGGGTGAACAGACAGGTTGGAATGCCATTCAGCGCATGGTTATTATAGCTGTGTGTTGAATTTTTAAAGTGTTTGTGTTGTGTCGATCTGTAACAGCAGCACGTATTGGGTGTCAGGTATTCATTTTCACCCTGCCTGCTTCGTTCTCTGTGTGCAAGTCATGTGCAGCACCACGTGTGTGGGTGCCAACTCTGAACATACATGTGCAATGTATAGATTGTATGCTCACGTGGGAACCTACATGATTTCTACCCAAGCAGCCCTGCAAAATTTCTTCAGCTTTATGTGGGACTTAAGAAAGCGAGACACCTGTTTTCAGGTCCAATTCAAGTATCAAATCCAAATCATAGTATTTCCAATTTTGTCAGATATCATGAACATATTATTAATGTGTGATTGTGTTTGTTATCAGGGGTCTGTCATTATTAACCCCTGTTATTATGTATTCCTAATTTAATGCGTTCCTGATCACGCATTTCATCAGGCAGATTTAGCAGCTGAGCAGACGTACTATACTATACTGGGTTATTGATCATTCCCGACATTCACGAGGATTCTTCGCTGGTTTAATATAATTCAAATTGTCAGAAGTTCCCCACATTTAGTCTGTTGCCAGAGCATTTTCCTTTCTGTCCGATGACCGCACATAGCACTAAATACTATGGCCATGAACCTATATGTGTAGCCTTGTCATATAGCCGTGGTTCCTCTGGGAGTAGTGCACGACTCTATAGGCAGAATAGTCCTTACAGAGTGTTATCATACTCTGCCGGTTACAGAAATGAAGCTATAAATGGAGTGCCTTATCAATAAAATACGTGGCCTTGTGACTGTGTTCTACTAGGGCATATAATCTGCAATGATTCCAAAAAAGCTCTCAGTCCATTTCCGTTTGAATCCTAAGGATGTTTCCATACATGGAGAACCCCCCCGCCTAGATGTAAAGCCATATACAGTAGCAACAGCCGCTCTGCTACGAAGAAGATAATAAAATGTAGGGAAACGGTTTTTCTCGCCGCAGAGGATAAAAATGGACCGGTCGATACATGCAACCGGCAGGGATTTTACTTCGCCTCTTTTCAAATGCATTCGTTAACGTGTTCGGTCCGAGAGAGACATTGATTTGTGCAAGTGTTCGCGACAATGTTGTGTCAACGTCCATTATAGGTTATTAGTGCGTATAACTTGTGTTATTATATACCTGAAGAGCATGGTACGACTCGGCGCGCTGGTATACGTAGGGTATACGGGCACGATTTTGTCCGGCATTAGACTGATGCAGGTGATTGAGTGAGGTAATGGCCGTTATTATAGGGTGTTTACCCCGTGTAATGAAGCAGCTTGGGTGCCAGCACATACAGCGATTTCTCTTGCCTGCACACAGTGATGCTGAAGGGGTCGTTGTCGTATCAGGTACTACAGATATGTACCCGAGGTACATATATGTATACACAAAGTGTACCAGACTTGTACTGCAGAAGTGTACCCTAACCCTAACCCTAGCCCTAGCCCTAGCCCTAGCCCTAACACTAACCCTAACCCTAACCCTAACCCTAACCCTAACCCTAATCCTAACCCTAACCCTAAACATACCTCATATAAAAATATAAACATAATACTAAACAACCTAAAACTACCTCGGGTTCATATCTGTGGTACCTGATATGACAACGACCCCATCTGCCACAGTGATATATGCCTGCGCCGCGCGTGTGTGCGTGCCTGTGTGCTTGCGTTAGTGTGTTCGCGTGCGTGCGCGTGTGTGTGCGTGAATGTGTGTGTGTGTGTGTGTGTGTGTGGTGTTGTGTGTGTGGTGTGCTGGTGTGTGGTGCGTGCGTGCGAGTGTGTGTGCGTCCGTGCGGGTGTTGGTACATGTCGTGTGTGCGTGTGTGTTATTATCTTGTATGTAGATATTGCGCGTAATAGCATATTTAGCATACACGCGGGTTTCGCACTGCTACAGTAAGCCTACATAGTAGCAGTGTGTACTGAGTGTGTATACGCTACGTGGTATGTAACACATACGACTGCTGTACTTGCAGTGCGTGACGAGATCTCGCTATTGGGTGCGTCATCCGCCGTTCGTCGCTCCAAGCAGACGCCGTCAGGGATTTATGTCATTCAGAACCTTTGAAATCGTGCGAAATTTCGTTCGACGGCGTTTTTGTAATCCATTAGCGTAGACGAGTGAGTGAGTGAGTGGGTGAGCGGGTGGGTGGGTGGTCGAGCGAGCGAGAGTGAGTGAGTGGGTGGGTGGGCGAGTGAGTGAGTGAGTGAAGGAGTGAGTGAGTGAGTGAGTGAGTGAGTGAGCGAGTGAGTGAGAGTGCGTGGGGGTAAATGAATGAATGAGTGGGGACGTGAATGAGTGGTGGGTGAGTGAATGTATGAATGAATAAATAAATAAATAAATAAAGGAATGAATGAGTAAGTGATAACCCCGACCGGGCTGAGAATTCGCAGTAGCAGACTTTCTACGTAACTGCGTGCCCCGAGGCGCGCGGACAGTAGCAAACGCCTTTGTGACCCGCGCTGCAATTTTCCCGCCAAATTTCACACACCCGCTCTAGCGCGCACCCTTCCCGCGTTTTCGCTCAAGGATGTACGCGTTGTGTGCATACATATTTACACATGGTGTACTACCGAGCTGTGGACGGTGCGAAAGGCGCCGCGAGAAAACAACGAGCCGCGTATAGAATTTCATCTACTCGGCGGAGGGGGGTGGGGAGTGGTCGAGAAGATTTATCCGTTCTCTGTAAAAAATTCTCCGTGTTTTAGAAAACAGTCGGCTGCGTGATTTCATATGTTCTGGAGGTTTATAAAGTTATTCACACGTTACATTGTAGCACAACAGAAAACGTGAAAACTACTTAAAAGAACATCTCAAATGTTTTAACGCCACTGAAAGTAGCGTGTGTGCGCTGTGTGCATGCGTGCGTGTCTGGGCGAGGAAGGGGACTAAAACATGTCAAGGAACCAACGTACAGCTATTTTATTGTGCTTCTGCTCCTGCTCCCGCCAAACTTACATCCTGAACGTAGGCGCCGCTGCCATGCACCGTCGTGCCCGTAGTTCTGTGCGCCTTCAACCAGGGTATGTGTGGCGCGCCTGCAGCAGGAAGTGACGAGTAACACCGGTAAGCTGCTCTCAGTCTGCTTTATACATGGCGCCCAAAACAAAGATTGCAGAGCTGAGAGGTGGGGGAGCGTAGGGTGTGGAGAGGGAGGCGGAGGAACCAGTAAAATATTAAGTCATCCACTATTTTGGGCAGTTCGCTGTTTTTGCCCCCCCCCACCTTGTTAAAAAATCCTGGCTACGCCACTGCCCAGTGGGGACAGTAAACGTGTCTGGCTAGACATTTACAGTCCTCGGCCTGTTTGCACGTGTGTTACTGGCATGCTTCGGTTATGGTGCTCAGCCCTGCTGTAATGCTCTGGTCATTTTCCATATGGGTACTCGACTTCCGTTTGCAACATTTATATGTGCGTGCGTGCGTGCGTGCGTGCGTGCGTGCGCGCGCGTGTGTGTGTGCGTACACGTGTGTTTGTACTATGCGTGCTTGGTCTTCGCATCTTGTGTGTCTATGCTATTTGTCGTCGGCCTGCGTGACCGGACTGCTGTGTACAGAGAAAGCAAGTTTCCGTCAACTCTGCTGTATGACGCCCGTCTATCGATCCTCCAGCACGCCCCGCCGCCGCCGCTGCTGCTGTCGCCGCGAGAGACTCGGCTGCGGGAGCGCAGCAGACGCCGAGACGGGCCGCGCGAAATCCGGGCGATCGTTGCCGAGAGGCCGGAGGCTGCAGAACGCAGAATGTTGAGGAGGAGAGGATGCTGAGTAGCGGAGGATTCTGATGTGAGGTAGATGCTGAGGGAGGGATGCTGTGAAGAGGATGCGGAGCGAGGGATGCTGTGAAGAGGATGCGGAGCGAGGGATGCTGTTGAGAGCGTGTGAAGCGAGGGATGTTGTGGAGGGGTTGTTGAGTAGTGGAGGATGTGGGTGGGAGAATGCGGACCTCATCGGAGCGATAAGGAAACGAACAGCTGCTGATGAATCAGCGAGGGCGTGGCAGCGAACGGCAGGGGAAAATAATGAATGAGAGATTGACTAAGGGAATGAATGAAATTGGAGAAAAAACGTGAACAGTCGTTGAACTGACCGAAAGGGGAGGGGGCGAACGAATGACCGTAGAAATAAATAAATGTGTAGATGGCTGTACGAATGGTTATGTAACTGAACGAATCGATGTCTGTTTGTATCTTATAAGAGAAATTAGTAAGTTTTCGAACTCGTTCTAATTTAGAAAAGTATTGAATATTGCACGGATTTATTTTTGTACGAAATGTATAGAGAATGATTTTTCATAGATGACTAGGATTATATTTTATACATTAATAAATACAGCTTATCGGCTAACGTGTTGTTTATCGTGTCGTGTGAGTGTGTGTTGGGCTGCGCTTACTGTAGAGTGATATTCGCCCTGCTGCCTCGCAGGATTATGGATTGAAGCCACCATACTCGGCTAGCTCGTCCCCAACGTGAGTCATGCTCCCGTGACGAATTAGTTTCCTGATTTAATGATTTATTCACAGGTCACGGCCGTTCGCCCGTGTAGGTGTGTACCTGCCACTCTATCCGCCGGCTGTGGCACTCTATCGTGGAGCTGCTATACGTACCTCACTGAATCGGATTAATTGTGCATACATACATACATACATACATGCATCCATGTTACACAGCTTGGGCGGGCTTGGTTTGAGTTATATAGGTCATCATGAATTATAATATATATAGTGCGTGCGTGCGTGCGGGTGTTCGTCTCGCGTGCCCCATATTTTCGAACGTATACTACTCGTATCATTTGCACTGGAATGAAATCCGTAAAAAGAAAAGAAAGAGGGGTAATGCGACAAACAGACAGGTAGAGGGGCCGGCAGGTAGTTAGAGTTAAATTCAGAATTCATTGCTGGATTGATTGAACGGCGAATTTGATCATAATGTCATAAAAACCTGTGACAGGGGAAGGAGCAGGAGAGAGAGGGGGAAGAGAGAGCAAGAGGGGTGAGATAGATTGGGTAGGGGGATGGACGGGTGAACGGACGGACGGACAGGCAGGCAGGCAAGCAGGCAGGCAAGCAGGCAGCTAAGGCCACCACGATATGATTACCTTTTACGTGTCAAGTATTAATGTTTTGTACGCAGCGTCCTATTTCAATTCGCTTCTATTGATTAATCCCGGCCGTATCCGGACAACTACCCACTGGACAATTACCCACTACAGGGCAATTACCGCACCAGGACCAATTACCCACTAGGACAACTACCCCACGGACAACTACCCACAGGACAATTACCCACGCAGGACAATTACCCCATCCCCGGACGATTACCCTAGCCCCCCCCCATCCACACACCGACAGTAATGATGATCTCATCTAACGGATCAAACTTCGTGATTTCATAATTTCAACTTCAACATTCGCTGATACTGCCGATATTTTGATTTATTTCGACATTTTCCGATACCCGATATGAAGTTCATACGGCAAAGTACAGGCCTTCACTGCGCGCATACAGAGAGACAGCAGGGAGCGAAGCGCAAACCAACCAAGCACCGTACACTGTCTATACATTTCTGGGTCGCTAATCACAATGAATAACATCCATTCATTTTACGTGCTCTGCCACGCGCCCGCAGTCGCCGGTCGCGTTATCTTGTAGTGTTGTTCTTGTTTATTTCATAAATTATGTTTGTGATACGCGTTATTGTTAGCACAGCTACAGCTTTGTGCAGATACGCGCTATAGTTTTGGTGATACGCGCATTGCAAATTCGCCGTAATGCAAACTCGCGTAAATCAAGAACAGCAGCGACGCGACACCCACTTAATTACCTTCGCGTACATTGAGTATACTTTGCCTACGCGACAGTGCTGGCGATACATCGCGCGAGCGTCGCCCCCGCGCCTAATCGCTTCGCATGCTGAGTCCATCTGTGCATCCTCACGCTCGGGTATCCTACCATAGGTTCGTTTATCGATTGCCTGAAATTGCAGTCTGCTCCCTCTCGAGCGGTTGTTAAAATTCGATTTTATTGAATACACTCATTAATGTATAATTGCGATATAATGGAAAAATTATGTGTTTCATAGGTGTCATTATCACTACCTTATCACATAAAAACAAAATCTTGTATACTTCAGAGATGCAATGATGAAAACAATGATTAAAGCCTCATTTAGACAATTCAGTTATGATTTGAAACTTTATTCACAATTCTATCATGTACACAAGCATTCAGATGACATGTTTCATTTTGGCTCTACTGTCTGTTGTATAAACTATTCATTAAGTGAAGAAGGGATGTACACATATGCAAATATACAGTACTCCACAGTGGCAGATTACATGACCTTTAAAAGGCAATTTTATATATCACGCTGTGAAAATGACAATTA